CTCTGCAGTGGTAAGAGCACTGAACAGGCAGCCGAGAGCCTTGGGCTCCAGACCTGAGTCCAGGCCCACCAGCTTTAAGACATCAAGCAAGCCACTTCGCACTCAGATTTCTCATCCGTGGCAAGATTCAGGGCACTTCTAGTATTCCTTTACTCCACAAACAGAAATCTCCACGAGGCATCGTGCAGTCTATACACCACCACAAATGTTATATGCCGAGCTTGGCACTCCAGCACGTAGGACAGTGCCCAGCACACGGTAAAAGCTTAACAAATAGGGGTTAAGTGAGTGAATAAATAAACTCTCCAAGAGAAACTGTTTCTGCTCCAGACCAAGCTGCCCATCTGAGTACAAGTTAACTTACTCGGGAAGACCGCTTAATTCTCTGTACTTCCACGTCCTCAACTGTCCTGCATTTCCTGAGAGAAGAATGTGACCGGCCTCGAAGTTCCAGGACAACCAACTCTACAGCTAGCCCACCAGTAAGTACCACGTTCACAATCTTTCACACAGCTTCACAGTAAACTTAAGACACCAGACATCACCACCCTCATTCTCACTGCTTCTCTTCTCCACACACTGAGACCAGGGCTCAGCACACTTTTTCTGTAAACGGCCAGACAACAAATATTTTCAGTTTTGCTGGCCATATGGTCTCTGCTGCAACTGCTCAACTCGGCCACTGTAAGGCAAGAGTAGCCATACATAATACATAAATGAATGAGCATTACTGTGTTACAATAAAACTTTATTCATGAACTGAAATTTGAATTTCATGTAATTTTCATGTGTCACAAAACATTAGATTTTTTTAATTTAAACCACTTAAACACGTAAAACCACTCTTAGCTCCAGGGCTGTAAAAGGCAGGTGGCAGGCTGGATACCCGCTGTGATCCAGGTCTTTTCCTCGGGTACTACTCTGGGTGAGCAGTCGGGAAAGAGCAGTAAGAGGCGACTAGTAGTTTCTGAAAAATGGTTCTGTAGGATCGGCTGGTTGACTTCTCCACTCGCTCTTTTCTTCGTGCCTCCATTTTTAACTTAGAAATAATTTGAAATTAGAAGAACTGAGATAGCAAGGACTATGAAACTCACTTGTTAATATCTAATCACAACAGTGCTGATAAAAAGTTCATTTTTTCCTTAAAAAATTAAAGTCTTCTCATTATACAGAAATAATTTCCCTATCAATTTTAGTTGAAATGTAATTCTACTTCATGCAAATAGAAGCAGTGAACTATCAGTTTTCATCTATAAGAATGAGGGAAAGAAGACTTTTTAAAGATTAACAATACTGGGTTTTAAAAATATTGGAAGAAATATGTACTCTTTGTGGCTATGTAAATTGGTATAACCCTTCTGGAGGTCTGTTAGGCAAAATTTGCTAAAGATTAAAATGTACATAACTTTTGACTTAATTATACTTCTGGGAATTCGTCTTAAGAAAATAACTAGACAAGTCAGCAAATATGTATATACAGAGACTTTCGTACTTTGAAGAAGTGTTAATATCATGAAAAGATTAAAACTATTTAACTGTCCAACTGGCTAAATAGTGGAAGAATGCAATGAAATTCTAGGAAACCACAAGAAATGATGATGTAGATAAGTATTTGACACAGATATCTCCACAACACACGGAAAGCAAAAATCACGTTACAAACCTACATGTTCTGTTTGATCTCAATGGCATGAGATGTCTATACATGGTGTTTCTCTATGTACCAGTGTGTGAGCAACAGAAGAAAAACGAGGCAGAGAGTTAAAAGAAGGTTCACCGAGACGTTCACAGATGATTTTTACTTTCTTGTTTATAGTTTTCTGTACTGTTTATATTATTTTGCAATGATCATGTATTACTTTTATAATTTAAAAAAGACTTCCTAGAATGTACACCACCAAGGGTGAACCCAAATGTAAACTATGGACTTTAAGTGATAATGATGTGTCACTGCAGGTTCATTGATTGTAGCAAATGTACCACTCTGGTGTGGGATATTAATAATAGGGTTTGGGGTATATAGGAACTCTGTACTTTCTATTTGATTTCCTATGGATCTAAAACTGCTCTAAAAATAAGGCTATTTTTTAAAGACTTATTAAAATATTTTGTATGCAAACAACTCAAAAGTTCTGTTCATCAGAAGCAATTTGAGCCTCACAGAAGTGAATTTAAAAGGCTTTTATCAGAGGCGGTTTTAGAATACTACAGATCGCTGCAGATTGGGAGGGGAGGGGCAGTCAAGGGAAGCACTACACTAAGTCCAGCGTTTCAGCTGGCTAGCAGTTTCCACCAGAAACGGATCAAAGAATGTTCTCCTCTTTCGAGAACCTGACTGTTTTGTGTATTCACCATGAGGATACTCTATTTTTTCTCTCCTGCTATTTCGGATTTAATAGAATGATTTTAGTGACGCTTAGAGGGCTTAAGACTGGGTTAGATAATCAAGGGCTCAAAAAAAGCAATTTAACACTTTGTCTTAGATTAGTTTTAAAATGGAGTTATAGCTGGGGCAAAAGACCCAGCTGCTAAAAGATAAGCTGGTCTTAAGGGGCTTTGATGGAAGAACAAATGCCAAGATGAGATTTTAATAATAAGGAGTTTCTGTTACACTAATAAGAGGCATTCTGATGCAAGGCTGAGGACAGACCCAGGTTGGAATAAATTAATGGAGAAATGTTCTATTTTACCTGAATTTTTATTTTCTTTAGAATAAATATGTACATTATAATTTATGCTTCCTGTACTTTGCCAAATGCATACTTCTACGTATAAATGTCATATATATACATAATTTTATTTTAACATAGCAAAAGGCTTAAAGGTTTCTGTATGGAATATATACCTCATAGTTGGAACTATCTGAATGACATCCAGATTTTTTTTTTTAATTGCAAGAAGAAAAAGCCACCCTTAACAAGAACTAAATCTTTAAATCTGACTAACAGAAACTGGTAATGTCACAAGGATTCACAAACCATGGCAGTACGCAAGTAGCAGCATCTGGAGTTAACAACAGGATGTTAAGAAGTTACTGTGGAAATCGAACCCCTAACATGGTCATGGCTCCAAATTACCATTTTCACCAAGCTACTATGTATGAATTTCTATACAAATGAAGCTTAATTTACAAAAAGCACTATTAATAATTTACACAACATGCCCAACAACATCAAATTGTTACGCTGGGCAAAAGACGGACCATAAACTTAGGTTTAATATTAATGGCATTTGTTTAAGCTGAGCGTTATAGACACAGAACTAGCGTAAGCATTTCCTGGTTCCCTGACATTATCCTAAGATTAGTGCGAACGTAGTAAAGCATATTTGTTGGTTTCTCTTGGGAAACCTCTAAAATCAAAAATGCAGTTTGGGGCCGGCCCAGGTGGCACAAGCGGTTAAGTGCGCGCGCTCCGCTGCGGCGGCCCGGGCGGGGTTCGCCGGTTTGGAGCCCGGGCACACATCGCTTGTCAAGCCATGCTGTGGCGGCGTCCCATGTAAAGTGGAGGAAGATGGGCACGGATGTTAGCCCAGGGCCAGTCTTCCTCAGCAAAAAGAAGAGGACTGGCAGATGTTAGCTCAGGGCTAAAAAAAAAGAAGGGCAGTTTATTTTTGGAGCATAATTTTGTGGTCAAGACATTTTTAATCATTCGGGCATTATCTTGAGTAATTAACATCATTTTTTGGCCTGGCAGTTTTTCTACAAATATAGGGCTGTTACACCTCAAAAGTGGTGAAACAGTATAATGTAACTATTCTTATGGTAAATCCTTGTTTCCCAAGTACCTTGGGTTAACTGTCATTAGATTTATTACAAGGGATTCACAACAAACAAAGAAACTCAAAATTACTGGCAGAAACTCAGAATTTTCAAGTTAAGAAACACTGCTTATAGCATTGAGAAAAATCACAACATAACTCAAATGTACGAATGCCACAGAACTTCTGATAGGAAGTGTCCAGACATTTCTAGGCCCGTTTTATTTTTAGGCTTTTATATGTTTACGTGTGAATGTGATGTGATTTAATTTACGACAATCTGATAAAAATGCTTTTACTCACCACCAAAAAACTTCACTTGTTTAACAAGGAGTCACACCACTGAGTTTCTATAATAACGGGAGGAGACTCCCAAGGGCACCAATCTGAACTAAACTCAACATGGATGCTGAATTCGCACGCAACTCTCCAGGAAACAGTAACAACACGTTTTATCTTCACAGCTATCTTACTGAGATATTTTTTATTCTCTCCCTTGTTAAATTGAGGGCTTTAGGACCCAGAGGTTAAGTACCCTGCCCAGAGTCACAAAGCTAAAGGTAGAATATGGACCCAGGCAATTCAATGAAACATTTTTACTTGCTTCTCCATCAGGCAGGAGCTGTGGGTTCTAGCTCTGCATCAACACCACTCTCAATATGTGGGCCCCCAGAGAGCAGCAGTTCGCCTCTGCTCTTGACCACTTCACCCCTGAAAGGAGCCTGTTAATGCTCCGCTTGCTCATCCAGGATTGTTGTGAGAACACCAAATGTACAGAGTGAAAGCCTTTCGGAAAGTTCAAAGCGCTATATAAATGTGCCACGTGCTAAAAATATCCAACTCAGACTACTCCAGCAACACAGAGATTACTTTCTAAAATATAGAGAAGACCCCAACAGTGTTTATTTGCAGCCACCTTGAAGTATCTTTTATGCTGTCTATCTGGAAGCCTGTAAAGTAACAGAGCAGAGTCTTGGCTGTCAAGTTCAACACCCTGAACGAGGCAACGTAAAAAGTGGATCTGACGGTTATGGTTGAGGACAGCCAAGCAGTTTCAAAATAGAAATGTAAACAGCAGTCAGTATCCCAGCAAACATTTTCTCTTTAATAAAAATAATCTTTAAATGTAAAGAACATATTAAGGCGATTGTTTTAATTTCAAAATGTGAAATCCTGAGAGAATAGAATGATTTCTTAAAAAATGTATAGAACTCTGAGAAAGAACCAGAATTCTTTCTTACCTCCCACATGTATACATTATTCTTAACTTGAGATCTCTTTTTCTTATCACCAACAAATGGCCCAAACTTTTTGCCTTTTAAAATTGGTTTAGTGGCCCAGACACCTAGAAAATAAAACCAATATTTTTATAATGTTTTGTGGTTATTTTAAAAATTGAAGCATTAAAATCAATTCAGTTTCACAAAATAGTTAAAAGGCAAGACAGGCTAAAAGCAAGAAAATGTTAAATCAACTAAGATCAAGTGACACCAAATTAAATCAAGTCTGCAATGGGGATTTTAATTTTTCTTCTTTACATTCTTCTGTATTTTCCAAATAGCCTGTACAGAACTTATACTGTTTTATAAGTAGGCAAGAATTTTGTATATTTGTTTTTAATTTTTACATGTGAAATTACCCAGACAATACAATCACAAATACATGGAGAACAGCACAATCACAATAATTAAAGAGAAAAAATATCATAATGTAGTGAAACTATAATTTTTAAACTCTTCTTTCTACTTTTCTAGATTTCAAACAGTCTCCAATGAACATGAGTTGCTTGTATAAAGGATTACAAATATAGTTTTATGAATAAATATTTTTGAAGTTTGTTTGCTCAAGGTAGAAAACCCTCTCCTCTCTAGCTAAGTTTCCTGAAAACTTAGCTCCTGGAACAAGGTGCTTTTCAGAGTTTCAAACAGCGAAGATTTCTGCTGTTCTGTGGCATTCTCAGGGGTATTTCTATGTTCTCTGCACTGACCACAAGGCAAACAGATAAGATGAAGAAAGCTGGGGCCGGCCCAGCAGCGTGGCGGTTAAGTTCGCACACTTGGCTTCAGCGGCCTGGGGTTCGCAGGTTCAGATCCCGGGCGCGGACCAATGTGCTGCTTGTCAAGCCATGCTGTGGCGGCGTCCCATATAAAGTAGAGGAAGAGGGGCACGGATGCTAGCCCAGGGCTGATCTTCCTCGGCAAAAAGAGGAGGATTGGCAACATATGTCAGCTCAGGGCTAATCTTCCTCACCAAAAAAAAAAAAAAGAGAGAGAAAACAAAAAGAAGCAGAGGGCAAAACGGCAGGAGACCACCCTGGAGTCAAGGGAACCAGCGCCCAGCGTTGACTCTTGCTGACAACATCACTCTGGACAGGGCCCCTCATCTTCTGGCCTCAATTTCCCCACATACAGAAGGAGGGTGGAGGCTGAGCCAGCCCTGTCCAGCTAAGACATATGAATTTCTCTCTTCTGTAAGTCTGTTATGAATCCCATTTGATAACGTGGCTAATAATCAATTAGTGGAGCTATAAAATCCACCACTTTCATGCGAACAATACAATATAAATGCTCAAATTACTTACTGAACAATTTTTCAATGAGAACTAGGAAAAGCATTTATTAGCTACTTATTCACACACGTATATACATAAACTGGAATATTAGTAGTACCTCTTAAAAAAAAGAAAACAGGATATAAACATGATATATTCCAAGACTATACTTTGACTAAACTTCTATAATTTACTCCCTTAGGCTTCTGTCTAAAGATTAGGACACAAAAACAAGACCAAATACACAAAAGCTTGGCTTGTATGCAACGAGAAACCCCAGCCAGAAGCATTCAGATACACTCAGGTCATCATTCACCCAAGTATCTACTCAGGTCCATGAAGTGTCAAGTACTGGAGACGTAAAGACAAGAAATGCAGGTACTCACAATCAATGAAAGGGACAGATGTGAGAACAAGTACAAAATAATGAAATAAACATCACAGCTTAATCACACTCGAGTCACGGTGAAATCAGAGAGGAAGGAGCAATACCTTCTGTGGGAAGAAGAGGCCAAGGGAGACACGGAGGAAGGGGACACTCAGGCTGGGTCACAAAGGATGGGGTGTGTGTGTGCATTTCTAGTTTAATTTTTATAATCTATGTATACCCTGGAAAATGCATAAATACCACAAAATCTTCCAGGTCAAAGTATAAATCTGTTGCTTTAATGTGAGCTCTGGACCTTAAGTGCCCCAAAGGAAGCCTCGCTGCAGCCTGCGCTCCCTTCCCCGTCTGCTCTGTGACCCTCGCACTCACCAATCCGAGTCTTGTCCACAGCAGATGGGAAAAGCCTCACTTCCTCTGGAAGTCCTCGAAGTACATGGTCAGGTACCTCGGCCAGGGTCTCGGCAACTGCTACAGGCTCAGGAGCGTTCTGCAAGTCAAGAAGCAGAAGGATCACAGCAAAAGGAAGGAAGCCCAGTTAGCGTTTCAGTTTTTTTCTGGTCCAATAAGCAAATATGTAAAAATGTAACTGAAACCTGAAACTGGCAAGCCACACCAAGACCATGATGTCAAGCACTTCAGGAGCTGCTCTGATGCTTGTCTGAGAGTGTCCAAAGGAAACCACACAGCCTTCAAGCAGGTCTGTGTTCATCTATTTTGTTCCAGCCCCCTGTAGCCATTTTCAAAACATGTAAATCTCTGGCACCCTACTCCTTTAAACTCCCGCACAATCTGGCAGCAAAACACAGCTTAAGCTCACTTTTAAGTCAAAAGCTACCATCAGCAGTGTAGAACATTTAGAAACAAAAAATCAACAGTCCCTACCTAAATAAAGACTTTCGGCTGGCACACACTGAAAAGGCCATGCCAGCCAATCGGATCCCCCCACCCAGGTTTCCCCCGGCAACAACACTCCCTTGACAGGGGCTTGAATATTCCAACCAAGAACACTACAGCTTATTAGGGGCCCTCACTGAAGTGCGGCCTCTCCAGGAAACAGTAATTTACCACTGGATACCAAGTCACTAAATAGCAGAGTCACCACAATATCACCAAGTCTCTAACAGAGAGAGAATTTTACATAATTACTAACCAAAGTTTATGCTAAAATTCATCATAATCTTAAGAAATAAGATTACTATTCAATATGGATGTAAGGGTATATAGAAAGGGGAGATTTGAGCCAACTGGTATAACAAAACTTATTTTAAAAATAACTTTCAAAGCAAAGGAAACCCAAGTGTCCATTAACTTGTACCACGTATACCCTAAAGAACTGATGTGCACATCATGACACTGAGAAGAATGATGGGTTTTGTAGTCTGAGTGTTTTTTATTTCACCACAAAGGGAAACATTTCTCAAGGACTTTCAAAGAAACCAACATAGGCAAAAAGCAAACTCCAAGCGCCTAAGAAGATTCATTTTCCCACAACAATAAAACTCTTGTAGTTTTTCAGAATGTTTTATGCCAAGAAAAGAAATTTCCAAATTTGCGTACTCCCAGCACTTCAATCTTTTTTTAATATCAATAGGCTGCTTCAAGAGAAATAAATCCCACAGCAACGAGCAAGTCATTATGAAGGCCTACTCTCTGGCCTGCTTTGAGCTGGAATTTGCAAAAGTGAGCATCTACTGAGGTTCCTTTCTTGGACAGGGCAAAGTGACCAGGCATACACTTCAGAAGCACAAATGCTTCCATCCTGCTCCATTTAAGTCTTGGTCCCAACAGTATCAACAAGACCAATTTAAACGCCTTCCAAAACATGGGAATATCAAAATTGCCCCAGAAAATGGTCTTATGGTATTTTTAATTAGCTAAAGTGTGAAGAAATCTAGCCCACACATTTCTCACTTCTAAACATAGTGTCCTTGTTTTTAAAATTTTAATCTATAAACTGGATTTTTGCAAACATGAATAAATTTTTCCGAAAGAGGGAAAAGGTATTAAATTGGTAGTTGGTATCCTAGGCTATATAATAATAATTTTTTAACATGGATAAATTAAGCAATATTAACAAGTAATAGCCAGAGTTATGAGTCCTATCTGCATGTGGCCATTTAGCACAGGAAGAGGGAGTTTTCTTCTCTTTTCTCAGATGGGACCCTAGGCAAAGATCTAAACTGATTTGACACCACTTAACCTCCCCAGGGGCTTTGAAAACACAGAGTGTCAGCTAACCTAAACTGATACTTCCAGGCCCTATTACAGTAATACTAATGACAACTTAACACGTGCTGAGAACCTCCTGGGCCTCGGTGCAGGGCCCTCTGCTAACTGTCTTACATGCATCACCGAGTTTACTCCAAACAGACCAAGAGGCAGGATTGTCGGTGCCTCCTCCCAGCCCCACCCCTACACACACACAAAGGAGGAAACTGAGGCTTAGTGAAGTTGTCTAAGCTGCTCAAGGCCAGGATTTGAACCTTTGTCTGTCTGACCCCAGAGCCCAGGCTTGTAATCACTGTGCTGTTTCCAGTTAAGATTCTCCTGGATAAGGTCTGAGGAGCTAATGTAAAACATGGTGACTCTAGTTGATAACACTGTATTATAAAATTGAAATTTGCAGAGAGTATAGAACTTACATGTTCTCACCAAAGGAAAAAAAAGAAAAAGATAAATAATGAGAGGTGATGGATGTGTTATTAACTAGAGGGTGGGAATCCTTTCATAATGTATATGTATATCAAATCACCATGACATACACTTTAAATATCTTACAATTTTGTCAATTATACTTCATTAAAGCAAAAAAGCAAAAAAGATTCTGCTGAAATATAATCTAAGAACCTCTGCCCCAAAATCTCCAAACTTAAATGGAAATGGCACCTTAGGAGATGGCACCTAAGATAGGAACGGTCATTCCCACAGGAAATTTGTAACTTGAGTGTAAGTTGGAGACAATGTGTATTAAAATTTCTGAAACACCTGTGAATATAAAGGACCTCAGCAGAGCCGTCACAGGAAAAAGAAATAAGGAAAATTCTATGCATTTATTTACCTGCTTTCTGCTAACCTATTATTTTTAACTTGGGCTCATTTACGTAGTAGAGGAAAGCTTTCTTTCTGTTTATTTTAGTATCTTTCACACAATAACAGGACTCAACTAAAACAGGAGGACCTCACTCCACAACAGGCCATCCAGACACTGGCCGGCTCCAGGGCCTTCCTCTCCCCTCTCCAGCGGCTGGAATCTCCACTGCAGTGGCGATGGCTGCAAGCAAACTGTCTGCAACAGTTTTAGAAAATCAGTGATTTGAGAAGAAGGTGAGATGACGTGCCTGTATAGAACCACCCTCTCGCCTTCCTTATTTTTCCTTCATAGGTCTTATCACAATTTTAAATAATTATTTGTACCTCCCATTAGACTGTGATAAAGACAAGATGGCATCTTATTCAATGTTGCATTCCCAATGCTTAGCAGTAGACATGAAATGTTTGTTGTCACTTAAATACTTGAATGGACAAATGATTCTTGTAGGCTAACAAATCTTTTTTAGAAAAAGGAGCGATAAAAACAAAAAATAGCAGGGTCATCTATCAGAAAGTATTTTCTCCATGTGTGCCTGAATTCCTTGAATTTGAGGTAGGTACACTTCTGGGTCCCTATAAGAATCCTTTTTTAGAAAATGTGGTATGCTCTCAATTCCAAGCAATCAATTCACAAGTAAACCTTTCAAACAAAAGAACATTTAAAAGAAAATTCCTCTCCCCTACACACTCATAAACTGGAATCTCTTTTTTATAGATATCCTGATAGTATTAGATGTATTAGATATAACATCATATTCTAAACAGGGTCATCTTGGTTCTTACGCTAAAGAATCACGGCTTGATCCTGGGAATGTTTCCCAGATTGACTTTGTCTAAAAGAAATTGCAACATCCACTCAATTTATTAAAATATTTCTGAGTCCCTACTACAGGCCAGGCAATGTTCTAGGCACCACATCTGCCTTAACAATGCATCACTCTAGTGATCAGGACAGACAGAGTCAAGCAAAGATATACAAAGCCTGGTAGTTACTGACGCTCTGAAGAAAAATCAAGCACAAGAAGGGGACTCAGTGATGGAGAAGGGGCAGGGTGCCATTTTGACAGTGTGCTTAGGGAAGCACTCTCTCGGAGGAAGGGAATCGAGTAGCGACATGGGGGAACACATACCAGGGAAGGGAACCAGCAGGGATGGACTCCTGAGTTAGGGATAAGCTTGGTGTGATCAGAGGACAGAGGGGCAGAAAGAGCAGTGTATCTGCAGCAGAGAAGGCAAGAGAAAAGCAGCTAGCCCTGAGGTGGGAGAGGTGGACAGGAGCAATGGCTTAGGAGAACGCATCAGCATTTGCTGGACTACACAGAACAAGAGGAACAGAAGGGAACCAACCAGAGAGCAGACTGCAAGCTCCAGGAGGGAACCCTGGCTGCTCCTTCTCCCCGCGCCCTGGCCCTGCTGTCCCAGAATAAAGGCACATTCCCATTTTAAGGGATTCTAACCCTGATCACTGAGATAAGGATGGAGGAAGTCACAAGGACTTCTCTACTTTCCTATTACATAATAGGAAACAAGAACACTTTATTTCACTGCTTAATGAAGTACAGTCTCCAAACATGCTTCAATGAACTGGTCTGGAACATTACGTATTAAATATAACGTATTAAATTTAAGTTAACATATAAGTTACTTAGTTATTAACTATTAATTGATCTAATTAATTCAATGTCTCCAACTTCCTACCTCAAATTCAAAGAAAATCAATATTCGCTTCCTTCTCCAATCCATGGCCACAAGCGTCTCTCCTTCACTCAGCCCATCATTCAGTCATTAACAAACACTTCCTGAGTGCCTGCTCCACACCGGCACTGTGCTGAGCCATGAAGATACGACGGTTAATAAAGCTGATCAAGGTCCCCCGCTCACGAAGCTCACTGGCTACAGGATCCCGCTCTTTTCCTGTTTCCTTACACAAGAAACCTTAAAGAGATTGTGATTCTCCAGTTTTGATCTTGCTGCGGAGCCTCTTAAAGATCCTTCTTCTGCCTTCCCCTAATACCTTTCTTTGGCCCAGGATGACCTTCCCAGGCTGGATGGGCGGAGCTTAGGGAGTATGACATTTACTCCTTCCTCTGGGCCAAGATCTATGCTAGCACTTTCCACCCATTACCTCACGGAGTCCTCGCAACAATAATCACAGCTAACACTGACGGAGTGTTCAGGACACTACGCAGACACTACTCCAAGCACTTTCTATGTGTCACCTATTTAATCTCTACACTAGCACTCTGGCTGTGGGGAATTTTATGATCTCCATTTTACAGATGAAACTGAAACCTGCCCACTGTCACAGCTAGTAAGTGGCAGAGCGAGCATTCAAACCCAGCCAGGCTTCAGGGTCTGGACTCTCAAATAATATGCCGCAGGGGAGCGTAACTTTCC